GCAACACCCAGAAATGCAAGCCTCGTCCTCTCGGCGGTCAAGAGTGAGAACGATGCGTGATGATGCGTGCTGCGCAGGTACCTACGATCGGATCGATGGCATACAGTCACCATCGCTGCAGATTGTCAAGATCGCACGGTCCCGCCGGCCTGTTGAATGACCTGATTCCAAACAAAGGGTAGGGTGCTGTTTCAGAGGATGGTTGTACTTCCTTTTCCAGATCATTCAGAACTAGCACTTTCTCATTTTTTCCCCGTAGAGGCTACGGAATCTTCTGTAGGGACCCCAATCCTTGTCCACTTCTCATACATTTCCATGGAGGGGCGCCTCTTTTGAGAAACTCTCCAGTTGTGCCTTACTCAATCTTGCTCAGGTCCTCATCTTCCTGGACGGCATCCAAGCCACGGAGAAGGAGATCAACATCGGCGAAGCTCCTGGAAGGTTCAACTGCACGACAGAAGCTCACATTTTAAAGAAGATTCTATTTCAATGATGGCCATGCTCTAGACGGATTTTGAGATTCTATATTCCAGCATCAGAGGCTCGAGGTTCACGGTGGCAGGAGATCAGTTCTGGGTTTGTGGTACTTGCCTCGAGTTTTGGGGGAGATGGTCTTTTGGGGTTACATAGGGGCAATATTGGGATATTGGGGTTACATAGGGGTTATATTGGGGATATAATAATGGAAAATATAATGGAAACTACTATAGTATATTGGGGTTATAATGGGGTAATATTATGGTCTTGGTCTGCGTAGCCTTTAGGTGGCAGCGATCGCGGTTTACTTCGAAGGAATTGGTAGCCTATAATGGAGAATTCTTTGGAAAAGCGAATGGAAAATAGCGACATGGACAACTTCTATATAGGTTTATGTAGGCTTTCATAGTGTTTGGAGGAAAGTATCCCAGAAAATGGTGAATCAACTGCAAACATGGACCATGAAACGGAAACTGGGATTCTATAGTGGGTTCATGGGATCAGGGGTGACCTTCAACCCTAAATCCCTAAACCCTAAATCCCTAAACCCTAAAACCCTAAATCCCTAAATCCCTAAAACCCTAAATCCCTAAAACTTAGACCCATGGGCCAAAGCTCGAGTCCCTGTAGAAGCCTCAGTGCAGCGGGATCCTATTGATACATGGAGTTCCCCAACCCAGACCCCTGATAGATAACCACCCTTTTTTTGAGTTTAGGGTTTGGGGTCTAGGGTTTAGGGTTTAGAGATTTAGGGTTTAGGGTTTAGGGTTTAGAGATTTAGGGTTTAGGGTTTAAAGATTTAGGGTTTAGGGTTTAGGGTAGTAGGGGTTATACTAGGGATCCATGTAGGAAGGCCCTTAAAAGGAAGGGGTTTATTCATCATGGGTCTACATGAACAAAGGCTCATGCAATCGGCTCATACGGGTGTTGCCAAAACTAAGCGGTTGCTTCTGTAAGGGGTACCTATCGTGAGGATTATAGTGACGCTGGGATACATTCTGTAAGGGTATAAGGGGTCCCCTTTTTTTTCATGAAAACTCCCATATTATGGTGGGAGTTTCCCACAATAGGGGGACTATAGACACCAAAATATTTCAATCTTTTTTTACGGGGCCTCCAAAAAGTTACACATAATTTTGGGACCCTCCCCCCCCACCCACCCCCATATCATTCTCCTGCGAATCCTTAGGCGTCAGCTCCGGGGGTCTGGGCACCGACGACGCAGGCCGACGAGTTCAGGGCCAGGAGCTCGGTTGAGACACTTGGGCCCCTCTTGTTTACGGGTTTAGGTTTTAGGGTTTACCAGGACCCTCTGTTTACCCTTAATAAGGGTATACGGTATGTGTTAGGTGGACCCCCCGCCCAGTAATAGTCACTTTCAGGGATGATGGTAACCAGATCAGTCTTCTTGTATTCCATTATACTACTATTACAGGGCGGGGGGGTCCACCTAAGGTATATGGTCCCGAATAGTGGGTATTCCGGCTATAATAGGGTAGAGGGAGGGTCCAGGTACATAGACATACTTCTACAGATCCCATTGCTCTGTGGGATGTCTCCATTATCACCCAACTTGTGGGGGACCGTTCCTGCAGGGTTCAGGGTCAGCTTTCTGAATTCTGTGGCGCTTCGTTTCTCAAGGGGATATACATGGATCTTTCTGCTGGTATATTTCCCAAAATAAGAGGAACCTCAATATAGACCCCAAAATGCAGATACCATATTGTAGGGACCCCCAAAAAGGTACCCCTAATTTTGGGAAATCCCAATACAGACCACCAACCAGATGGGGATTTTTGTTCTGGAGGCTGGGCTTGATTTGGGCCCTTCTGTTGCAATGCCAAGTGAAGTTTAGCAGGGGTCAAGACCTGAGGGTTTTAGGCTTTGTGCTTGCGTTCCTAAGGTTTGGATGCAGTGGGCTCAAGCTTTGAATCTGGGGTCCAGGTTTGGGTTTAGGGTTTAGGGTTTAACTGCGCCTTCTTAAGGTGCTCCTGGGACAGAGCTACTACTTGTATTTCTTTGGCTTTAGAGGCTCGGGACTTCTGAGAACGTGTGAAGGTCTGTAAGGGTGTATATCATGGAGGCTCGTTATACTGAGGCGCCTACATGCAAGAAGTTGTATGTACAAGTCTTGCATGCATAGGTAACTGTTCCAAGGCGACGCCTTGCGCCTCATATTTGCGACATTCTTGTATCCGTTTCCGGACTATCCAAACATACAGTATTCTTGCGCAAGCATCACTAGATACTGCTCTTGAACAACTGTTTTTGGTATCCAAGCATGCTGTTGCAACAACAGGTTGTCTTGCTACTGCCACTGTTGTTTCGTGTTGAAGTGCTAAGCCAGTGCTGACACTAATTACAATCCAGTGTTGTAGCAAGAAATGTCATTGTTTGCAAATTTGCAAATGTAGCCATCATTAGTGCCTGGGCACATTTCGAGCGTGCTCATTGCTGATACTACAAGTACCATTGAGCAGTTGCCCCCCATTTCTGAACGCGGCCGCGAGGCTCAAGCGGTGAGTGCGCAGGTATCTAGTCATGTCGTCCCCAAGCACTGGGCCTTTCAGGCAGGGTGGTTCCCTCCAACAGTAGATTCAAAGCAGTCTCATGGAGGTCCAGGTGCCCAAAGAGTGGCCTAAGGTGCGTGGTCTTCCGCCAAACGTAAATTCCTGATAGATTATTGAGAGCCAAGGCCATACCTGCCGGTGCCTTGCGTGAAGTCTTGCCGGGCGGGGGCCAGTAGGAGTCCATCTGGAGTTTGTTTAAACATGCTTGTGTGAGGAAGCTGCGGAAGCTGCATGCAGAAGACAGCTGTTTCAGGGTGTTTAAAACCATCTTGTTAAGTAGCCGCCCGTTTCTGCATTCCTGCAAGTTGGCCATTCCATCCGAATCGCGGTCTTGACAATAGGAACCTCAGAAGCGGAGCATGCGTTCCACAGTAGAAGATCCAATCATTTAGCACCGTCGAGGACTGGGAGACTTTCAGTGTTCCGGGCCTGTTCTCTAGTTACCCCAAACCCCGAACACTGTTTCGTACCACGTTCGGAGCCCAAAGAGGAAGGCTCGAAGAGGCCACCCTGCTGCGTAGCAGTAGATCAAGGGCGCCTCGAAGCCACAACTGTCCTTGCCATAAATGGCGGTTTCCCAAAATTAGGGGTACTTTTTTGGGGGTCCCTCTAATAAGGATCATAGTATTTTTAGGGTCTATATGGGGTACCCCTGATTTTAGGCAACCACCGAGTCCTGAAGCTTGAGCCCAGCCAGGAGGTCAGATTCGCCAAGGGCAGACGGCACCAATGGTTCGTCGATAGCCTTGACTGCCCCTGGTCTTGGAGTATTGTAGGGTTTCTTAGGGGGATTCTAGGAGTGTAGACTATGGCTCATAGCACTCCTAACTGGTCGCAACCCGGGATATGACTTGCGAGTAAATTAGGCTGGCAGAACATGCACCCGCCACGGCAGGGGTCCCGTTAAAACGGGCCAAGAGGTGAGAACGTCAGTGTGTAAGTACCGTTAAGAAAGCATCACAAATTACAAGCATACCGTATGCATTCTGCATTGTATTGTGAAGGAAAATCTAAAGGTCTTGGCAGCAAGACAAGGAAAGATGGAAGAGGTTGGAATGAGGCTGCGCGGGTGTTCATGTATTGCACAAGTAAAGATCACAGGTATCTCCTTGCCCGTCATACTGAGAGGGACGCCTGCCCCTGCTCATTGTACGTCAGTGTACATATCCAAGTCCATATGGACACCGCCTTTCTTTTTTCTACTTGATCTCTTGGTGTGGCCGCTTGAGTTCAAACGACGGCCAGTAGATGACCTTGCGCTTCCATCCTCCGGGGAGCCCCATCTGCGTGTGTTTAATGCAGTGCATCAGTATCACCTCTCTAAACAGGGGCTGAAGAGCAATCCTTGAATTTTGAAAGCCTTGATGCCAAGGGTTGGGTGTATGCAGTATGCACGACCAGGTCTGTAGTAGGGCGACTAATGCGGTATATACTCGCACGACTACCCTTGATAGGTGGCACGGCTGATTCTTAGAGCTGCTAGGAGAATGCTATTCAATTAGTACTAAAGGATATGATTTGTGCCTTTCTCGCTTTGTGATAAGAGAACTCCGGCCAAGCACCCCAAACAAAAGGGGAACAACAGACAAACGCTACTCCCCTCGCGGTCCTTGGCTCTTTCTGGAGGAGGACACCAGCGGGCCGGAAGTGAGAGATAACCCCATTACAGTAGTTTCCATGTTCTTTTCCATCATCCCCATTTAACCCCAAAATATCCTCTATATACCGCTATATACCCCTATAAACCCAAGTTTTTATTGAGTTTCCTCCGCGCCTCCAGCCACCCTCGGAGAGCGTACCAGTAGGGTTCGCCATGCCAGGGGATCTCAAGTGTTTCAACTCAATGTGGCCCCTTCGGCCTTTCACGGCATATGGGGTATATATGGTGGGTGTGTGGGGATTCCAGGGTCAAGGGCCCATACTAGGGGCCCACGGTTTCAACAGTAGATCAAGGTGACTACCCTCCTGAAGAACATGCTGCTCGGCCAGACATGATGTACCTTTTTGCCGGCGGCAGCTGCTTTCTATTTGTTACACTTTGAAATGTGAAGCAGGCCGGCGAACCCCTGTTCCACGATTTGTGAGAGCACAGTTGTATATTATTATACTAAAACCGTAAAAATCCCATAACAAAATGGTCTTAGGGGTTGTGGGCCTGCTGGGTCCGAAGCCCAAGTCTACGGTCAGTATTGCTTCTCACGATTTCTCACTGCTCACAGATACCGACCGCAAGACATTCACGGGAGTCTCCCAAGACAATCTGTACACGATCCCCAATATGGACGCCCACAATCTTTGTAATCCCTGCATATCACTGGGCTTGTCAACGTTTCCTCTTTTTATATCAGACCCAAGGCACGAACTTTCCCCGCTCTTTAGATCCTGAGCATGAAGCCTGGGAAGTCTCTTAAATCCTGTCCCTTTCTTCAGTCCTGGAGCCAAAGACCCTACCCCATCTTCCCAGGCAAGCCTCACAGGAATATATTTTGGGATATATATATATGTATATAGATTCATATTACATGCACAATTACTACACGGATACATCTGGATCTAGGGGGGAGTGGGCCAGAAAATTGAAAGCAGCCCCTCTAAACATCGAAGCCTCAGGATCGGCGCTGGCATCTTTTCGTTGCCCATCGGGCTGCGCTACGCCAGCCCTCTGCCGGGCCTCATAGTGCTGGCGAATCTGGGCTCTGAGCCTTCAGAGCGTATGCTTGGTGAGGTGTCCTCATATTAGGAACGGACATTGACAGAAGTAAGACTGCCGCGCTTTTACAAACAGAACAGTGAAGTTTGCAGGGGTTTAGCTCAGATCCAACAGACCTTCAATGCCCTGAAGACTTGAACTTGAATTCCAAAGCTCCAAAGATCTGGGAGTGGCGTGGAGATTTGTGAAGGCAGGAGTTGAAGACTGAGGTTGTCATTACCCTCACCTACGCCCTGGTTATCCCTACAACCTTCTTATGATCCTCACTTAGCATTCCTACAGCAATCCTCACCCTAAACCCTAAACCCTAAACCCTAAACCCTAAACCCTAAACCCTAAAGCTCCAAGATGATTTTGTGAGCTTAGGATCATCGGCATACTTAGTGCTGGTTCTTATTGGATGGTTGGGTACACATGCATCACCTGTAAGGCTCCTTGGATCCCATTTCAGTAGTATTTAGGGGTTTAGGGTTTAGGGTTTAGGGTTTAGGATATTGGGGATATGGTATTTTATTTGGGGATACTATGGTACCCAATAATATAGGGTTTAGGGCCCTATAATGGAGGATCAAATGGAAAAGCAAATGGAAAATGAAATGGAAACTGAGGTTATGTTGGGGATATGGTATTTTATTTGGGGATACTATGGTACCCAATATAGAGTAAGATTATATCTTCTTTTTGTGGTATAGTATTTTTTATAGAGCTTTGTTGAGGGCCGGGGTTTGAGTGTGGTGTAGAAACGTGATAGCTGTGGATTATGACAGTAGCAGTTTGACAGCAACCCGATTTTCTGCGAAGGAAGAACTTTTGGTGCTTTAGCAGCCTAAGATCAAGGATTGAGGGATGAAGTACCTAGAAAGTCAATGTGAAAAGCTGATTTCTTAGGAACGATATCATCTAGTCATCCTTCCAGAGGCACAGGCTCGAAATCCTAAACCCCAGACCAGATGATTTGGGATATGGTTTCTGAGTTGGCAGGCCGCCATCCCAGCTAAACAGGGTTTACAGGGGTGAACTTGCGGTCATACAGAGTTTATACGGGGCTCATAGGGGTTTTATCCATAACCAGGATTATGATGTTTTCGGTCTATATTTGCTCAGGCAAAGTCGTTCAGAGAGCTCTGGAACAAACTTTTGAGTGCCAATACAGCTTGGATGATCGATGTCATCATCTTTGTAAATGGCTGGACAACGCTGATTTGCTACATCGTTCTGATTGGCGACTTCATGAGCAAGTCCTTCCTTGGCCTTCTGGGTCCTGATCACTGGCTTACAAAAAGCCGGGTCTTGAATCAAACTGTCATAACAGCCATGGTTTTGCTTCCTTTGTCCTCGGCCAGGGACTTACATGTGCTGGCTTACACCTCTATTCTGGGTCTTGGGGTGTTGGTCTATGTGGTGATTCTGGTCATCCACGACTCCTGGATGAATTCGACCAACATCAGCCACGACACCCCGATGTGCGTATGGAATATGGGCGTTTTTGAGGCCATCGCTCTCTATACCAATGCCTTCGTGGCCCACTACAATGCCCCGAAGGTCTTTGCAGAACTAGCCAATCCTAGCCATGAGCGCTGGACGCTGCTTGTAGGCTGGGATCGAGACTGACGCGCATGCACTTTCATACAATGTGCATATAAGCTATAGTCTAAACTCCTTAAAGGGGGGTTATATAGGGGATTATATAGGGGACTACGAAAGGGTATAGAAAGCGGGATACTAGGAGTTTAGAATATGGCTCATATGATATATGAGGCATAACCTCAACTCCTCAAAGGGGGTTATATAAGGGATTCTTATGGGGACTAATAATGGGCTTATCAAGGGGGATACTAGGAGTTTAGACTATAGCTCATGTGGCACAGGGCATCAAGGTTCGTCATGATACCCATTCGGAACCATGCAGCGCCTGTTGTAGAGGTTTCGAAAGCTTTCTCAAAGCTTCCTGACAGTCAGAGGTGTGTTGCGCTGTCACTTGTTTGGCTTTTGCTCGTTGTATCCCTAAACCCTAAACCCTATGAACCACAGGTCCACGGCTGAAAATTAAGTCGCTGTGCTAAGCCAGCATGTAGGGTTTACTACAGCAGGGGCTGGGGTGGATAACCTACTCGGGGTTAGTAGGAAATAGGGGAATATATTATGTGGGGGGTTCTAAAGGGAGTATATTCCCTACAAACAACCAGTAAGTCACAGGACCACGTGAGAATCATAGATCATGAGAGGTGCTGCTCAGAATCTCCAATTCCAAGCCCTGCGACGTAAACTATTCGGTTTGAGGCTCTGTGGGAAGAGCGAATTGAGTTAGTCTTTGCATTACTTTCAGTTACAGCCTGCATATCCCAAACCTTAAACTTTGATATGCCCTACTGAGCTGAACACCCTAAACCCTCACATTTCACAAGCCGTAAGCCCCCAAACTGTAGACCCTCCTCCCAACCCCCCCTGCCCCCCCAAAGTCCCACCTGCAGGCATCGCGTACGGTGTCGCCTTCATTGTCTACGCCGCGTTTGCCTGGGCGGGCTTCCGGCGCTTTGAGCACGAAGTGCAGGGCAACATTCTGAGGAGCCTTGGCCTAACGCGTTGTAGTGCTTCACATAGGGTTGTATTGGAGGTTCTGTAGGGATTATGGGGGTGAAATTGGGGTTATATAGGATGATTAGGGGTTATATAGGGATTCTAGGGTTATATGGGGTTCACATAGGGATAACGGAAAAGAACATGGAAACTAATATGTAGGGTCATATGGAGATTATATGGGGTAATATCGGGGCTACATGGTTTTAGTGTTTCAAGGTTTTTGCGGGTTTTGTGGCTTGAGAGCCCAGGGCTGCTGAGGGCTCAGGGGATAAACGTATTGGTAAGTTAATGACAAGGAGGGTTTTCAGGGTGTAGAGTAGCAGGTTATTGAAGGGGCATCAGGATGAGATGTATAGGGGCTTTTTGGCTCAGATTGTTTCAATGGGGTCTTGGGCTGTCATAGGGTCTTGTTTTTTCCGGGAGCGTGAAGGGCTAGCATTGGGAATTGCTCAGGCCAACGCTTTGGTCATGATCTTCGATTTTTCCAGTAAAAAACCGCTGCCGCTGTTACTGCGACTGCTGCAGCTGCAGCGGCTGCTGCTGCGGCGCTAGCATATGTTCGTAGGCGCATGACTGTTATGAGTGTTCACATTGTGCAGACCCAAGAGGCCAGCAAGCGTAGTACCTTTTCGGGTTGCACAGTTTCCCAGTCCAGCAAACCTTATTGGTTCTTAGTAGGGAAGAAGGGCATATATTATTTGGGGATTATAAGGGATTAAATTCCCGTATTCCCTACTAAGAACCAGTAAGAAACATTCTCCACAACGTATCACCCACATTTCCCGTAGGCACTGGACCCTTAGGCAGCCACAGTGAAGTGGGCTGCTTTGAATTCGCCTTTATCAATTCAAATCTATTGTAGTCTAAACTCCTAAAAGGGGGTTATATAATGGATTGTATAGGGTATTAGCATCGTGTTTATTAAGGGGGATACTAGGAGTTTAGACTATAGTTCAAATCTGTGCGCAAGTGATAACCCTTTTGTGCATGCCGGTATTGATGCTATACCTTCATTTGGAGGTGCAAGGGTGGTGTGACTTCCTTTGGCTGACTGATGCTTAACAGGCAGCGGGGCAGTTGATTGCTATCAGCATCCCTGTATACTTCTCTGCAACAGTACCTGGCGCGAAAATGGAAAATGAAAGGATGATGGCAATGCGATAGAAATGTCAGAATGCAGAAGTGAATGGGCACTTTTCCCGAGATCGCGCAACAAAGGGGAATTTTCTGCACCACTGCAACCTCACTAGGGGCTTGCGCCCAAAGTCCTGCGGAAAGAGGCTTCACATCTGCTTGCAGAAGCTGACACGTCAACTGGACCTGGCAAAATCAACAACCCTAAACCCTGAACCCTAAGGCATGAAGGGAAATCCCCCAAAACAGCCCTCGCCTCTGCTTCATGCCCTAGGATTTCGGGTTGGGGTTTAGGGTCTAAGTTCCTAGTATCCCCCTTAATCAGCCTTACAATGTAGGGTGTAGAGTTTAGGGTTCAGGGTTTAGGGTTTAGCGTTTGGGGTTTCAGGTCATGCCTCTATCGCAAAATGCGTAAACTGACATGTACTGTGCAAATGCAGTGCATGCCCATGCGCGACGCCCAGGAATTATGGGCCCTATGCGCATGTGCTGATAGCCTGGCTGGGCATGGGCTTCTCCATTGCCTTCACTTATCCGCTGGTTTTCAATTCCGCGAGGGAGGCAGCGAGCGCTTGAAACATTGGTTTAGGGTTAGGGTTTAGGGTTTAGGGTTTTAGGGTTTTAGGGTTGAGGGTTTAGGGTTTAGGGTTGGGGGTGGCGTATTCTAAGCCTAGGGCTATGAGGCCACAATAAGGAAGAGGTGCTCTCCACTGTAGTCATGAAAAGAAGGTGAGGGCTCAGGAACTTGCTTGTTCAGGATCACGGATTGGGTAGGATTGCGGGTTCGGCATCGGTGAGGGACTGGTGCCAGGTATAGGGTTTTGACAGTTAAGAGGGTTGAAGATCTCAATCAGCCTCAAACAAAGCGTACCGTTGTCATTGCGGCAGCCCAGGAGGCAGGAACTCACATAACTATAGTCCCCCTTAAGTAGATATAGGGGTTATAGGGGTTATATGGGGATAATGGAAAAGAAAATGGAAACTACTATTTAGGGTTTTTGGTTTTTGGTATTTAGACCTTCAAGTTTGCAAATCTTGCACATTCCCTTGCGGCCAATGTGACCTTAAACAGCCGAAGTACAACAGGAATGTCCCTTCCTCTAGACTCTAGACCGTATGTGAGCTTGAGTAGCGTGTTACTTACAACGCACCTGGCAACTATCGCTTTAACCCAATCCTCGCCCCTAAGTCTAGTAAGCATGGCTCTAGGTAGGTTGTAAGTGTGGTGAGCAAGTAGCCAGTTAGTACCTAAACCCTAAACGGCCCTAAACCCTAAGTCCAAAAACCCTAAACTCCTCAACCCTAAAACCTGAAACCCAAAACCCAAAGCCGCTAAACCCTAAACCCTGAAACCCTAAACCCGAAACCCATGCCAAAGACTGAGAAAAAGGCTGCCGTCAACCTGCTCACCTTGGCAAGAGAGCAGCTACAGGCATCCGGGACACTTACTGGTGCTTAAGGGGGAGTGGGGGAGTGCATATACTGGGTTGAGGGTTGAAGGTTCAGGGTTGCTGTTATGGAACTGATATGGAGTGACCAAAAGGGGTATATATGGTGACTCATATGGTTTCCCCAATATAGTAACTTAAAGTAAGTTCCTGCACAGCAACCCAGTAAGGGGGAGTGGGGGAGTGAATATTTGGGCCATTGTCGGGATATTTTTAGGGGTTTGTAGGGATTAGTATAGGGCTCTCCCTCAAGCACCAGTAAGGGCAAGCATGGTGGGTTCTCAGGGTCTCGGATTTGCGGCTTTGGGGCTTTGCGCTTAGGATTCAGGGTTCAAGACTTAAGGCTTTAAGATGGGTTGAGGGCTTGGGGTTCAGGCTTGAGGAGGTTTAGCCCAGGGTTTAGGGGTTAGGGTTTGCAAGGCAGAATGCAGCATAGCCCCCAAAATTTCAATAGTACGGCTGTTATAGGTCGTTTTGGGGCTGGGATTGCCAATGGCTGCCGAATAGACCGCACAAGTAAGTAGGAGCTGCTCGGGTGGTTCGGGTCTGGGGCTTTGAGGGTATTTTCAATGGCGTATCTCATTGGCTTGAACAGGGGTTGTGTAGGGGGTGTAAGGGGTGGCTTCGGGACATCGCATCCAGCACCGTTTCTGAGGTCACTGTTTGTAGGATCACATCACATTGCAGGTACGGTGCCTCCATGGCTGCAAACCCTCTAGAATCCAAAGCCTGTTAATCCAACCTCATGGTCTTAAAAAGTGGCTCTTTTGAAATGCAAACCCTACGTATAGTCCTCCTTAAGTGGCTTTCAAGACAAGTCGTGTTGCAAACCCCCTAAGTAGCATGAGGTTCTAGACTGACTGCTGTTCTTTCAAGCAGGGGCTTGACGGATTCCATCTTGGGGGAGCGCTGATACTTGAAGGTTCATTGGACTTAGTAACCACTTATAGTTGGGGTGCCCCTACAAGGCCAGTTTCGGGTAGTTACAAGTAGGGTCAGAAGTCGTAAGTTGTTTCCAAGTCCCATGCACCCTCAACCCTAAAACCTTGGTAAGCATTCGCCAGGCCACATCCTGCGGCGCGGCGCTTTGTGAGGTTTGGGCCTCCCGCGCGCAGCAGCTGCAGGCGCCATTTTTGTGGTTTCGGGGTTCACAGGGTTCAGGGGTTTAGGGTTTAGGTTGGCTCAGGGTTTAGGGTCTAGGGTCTGGTGATTAGGTCCCAGGGCTGAGGGTCTAAGGTTTTAGATGGGTTTTGGCTTAAGGATTTGATTTCATTATTTTGGATGACATGAGGTCATACTACGGAATTGATAGCGTCTCATGGCACCCAGTGCTCAAGCTGGAAGACTTCTCTTTTTGGTGTCGCGTGCATCAGTACCATGATCAAGTGGCATACATATAATACTCGAGCTCTCTCAAGCCTGATTTTCGAAACTCACAGGCAAGGTTGCATTCTTGGGTTCTGGGTGTCATCATGAGAGGCGCAAGTAGGCAGGGGTGAAGTTCCGGAGCTCTTCGGTTGCATTCCGACTCCACACCCGTGGCATCCAATGCTAATTACCTGCTCTCCCAGACCCCTCAAAACCAAGCACCACGCCGAAGCTTCTTACCACCCTCCATACAGTATGCCCAGGTGTATCGAAGTTGCACCGGCTTGTGAGGCATCTTATCGCAACAATCCTGGAATTCCTAGGGTAACTACTTGGAGGGCACGAACATTGTGAGGGTTAGTAGCTCTTGAACTTCCCCAGAAGCCTTTGAAGGCGGTGTGGCTTGGTGTTTGGCGGCGATTGCCTCCAAGCCCTTCCTCCAAGAAGAGGCAGCGACGATCTCGCTGTTTACTTGGAGTTAGGAATTCAGTGGTATATAGGGGGGATTTCGGGGTATATATGGGGTTTAGGGATGATGGAAGCCAACATGGAAACTACTGTTTTAAAATACTTGCAGATCGGAGCCTTGCTATAGTCTTTGCCCTGTCGTCTTGCAGTTCTTAGTGCTGCTGAGTTAGTACATGCAGCTGTCAAAGGTGTTCTTGTTCTGGGGTCTTTCAGTTCATTGGGGATCAGGAATTCATGAAAAGGAACACGTTTGACCCCTCCGATACATACCCCGATGCATACCCTGATACATACCTCAATACCTACCCCGATACATACCCCCACAACGTCCCTTTCGTCAAGAACCCACTGCTATTAAACATACCCCGAAACATACCTCGAAACAAACCCCGAAACGTAACCCCGAAACATACACCAATCCGAACATGCCTTTTCGACTACGGTTTAGCGGGAAATGCCGTGGTTGCTCAGGAAAGTATAACATGCACCCTTAACCCTAAACCCTGATTATGGGAAACTCCCATAAAATGGTACCCCATATGTACCATAGTCTAAATTCCTAGTATCCCCCTTAATAACCCCCATAGTAGTCCCCTATATAACCCCTTTTAAGGAGTTTAGATTGTAGCCCATAGGTACCCAAATAAGGCCTGAGCTTGGTGAGGCTTCAGGCCTGGCAGAGGTAGAGATTTTGGCTTTGCGGTGGAGGGCTCAGGGTTGAGTGGTTTTGCAAATCCTCAAAGCCCCAAGCCTGAGGCTTGAAGAAATCTTTTGGACTTTTGTTTTGTCTGGGGGGGGAAGAGGTTAGGTTGTAGGGTTTTCCGGTCTAATGCTCAAGATTAAGGGGTTGGAGGTTTTGCGGTTTCAGCTTTGCTTGCGATTTGAAGTTCTTCCCGAGAGCTGCAGTGGACATTCAGCCCTATGAATCGTTGAGGAATGTCTTGTGCTAGACTTCTGCATCCAGCCTAACACCCAACCAGAGGAAGGGGCAATCTCACGTCAAACCTCAAAACGAAGAAACCCCAACGCCCAGAACCCTCAACAACAGGCCCTGAAGGCTTCATTGGCAAGTCCTCTCGTAGCCTTGCGCGATGCGCCCTGAGCAGGCAGCACCAATCTGGCACCAAGACCACCATTGCGCTTGTGTTCCTGACCGCCGGGAATAGATGATTGAAAGCATCTGTCCTGAATCGCAAGTCCCTTGTATATGAACGTCACTAGCTTACCAGGGGTTGTGAGTGATATAACACGGGAGTCCGCAATTCTTGGAATCAGATTCCGCAAGGTGCCTATCAGAAGTGTGATTTTTTTTGCCCTAGACGCCCTCTTTAGCAAGCAAGGGCGCATGTAACTAATCTGACAGAATTCTGGAATGTATCTAGGACGCAGTGTCAGTTGCTTTAAAGGCTTCTGGGGTGCAGGGCAGGCTGTTTGTGCTTGCCATGTCAGGCTTCTGTGCAAGTTGGGAAACATTGTCTGGTTGTCGAGATTTCCAGTAATAGTTACCAATATTATCGTATATTATGGTATATAATAGTATATATACTAGTATTTTATGGTATATTATGGCCTAAATCATTACCAATATTCCATGTTCCTTATAGTTCCAAGTGGGGTGATAAGTGATTAGAACTCTCACCATCAAGTATCTTTGAGCCCGCTTGAAACTCCTTATGAGTTTCCAAGCAGAGATAGTGTATTAGAAAGGATGGTGAGTAACATCACTTTGAACTTGGCAGGCAGTGAGATTCCCCTGGAGTGTTCAGATCGCATGGCGAAGTATGGATCTAAACTTGCGTATGACTTTTAGATGTGCTTTTGATTCGGGCAATGTACTCGGGTAGCAGAAGGCCATTTGCCCAGAAAAGCTGAGCTGACCGCCAGGTTCACGTCTTGGCCTTCTACTTTCATACTACGTAATTCTGGTATCCTTACGTGCATGTGATGTGTTGGGGCCAGGGCTTCCAGAATCTTTAGGGTGCAGAGTGCGGAGACTATTACATACGCTAGTACAAGATGTTAGTGCTCCGTATTGTATCGCTGCAGGCAAGCATGAGAGCAAACTGACTTGGCTAAGAAATTTGGTCCGAGACAGTAGTTTCTGCAGTGAGGGAGCTCTGAGTTCGAGAAAGTTTCTGTGACCGTGTGCCGTCTTTCCTCCCGCGCCCGCGCACACTCGCCAAAACAGGACCTACATCGTTGCAATCCGCTGCGAAGATGTGGGCGTTGTCAATGCCCTCGCTGGCTCTGTGATGGGCTGCGGCTGAGCTGAGAGAGCTTTGGGAGAGCAGTAGTCATAGAAGTAAAGTCGTGATAAGTATTTGAATAATAGTAGCATAGACATATTATACTAGCAATAATGACAGGAAAAGAGTAGCAATATGTAGTGCCCATCATCATTAGATATGCAAGCGGAGGAGAGCAAAGGTAAGACCGTCAGGTTCCCCTGAGTCATAACCATAGCATGACAGCATGATAGCAAAATACTGCTGGTGTACCAATACATACCCATACAGATTTCAGGGTCTGGCTTTTGCTAGGGTCAGCGAGGAGTCTTGAGGTTTAAGTGTAAGCAGCTGGGGTTCAAGTGAACCTGACTTGCCAGGCTTGGCCCCAACATGGCCTTGATATACTGGGGGTGGCTTTGTCGTACAATTTCTGTTGGGGCCCTGAAGGTAGGTTTTTGTGTAAGCTCCTGCTGGGACCTAAACAGAGTACCATCCCCTTCCCTGCAATATTCCACAAAGTCCCCTCCTCACCACTTCAGCCCTTCCACCCCCAGCATTCCACCTGCACTCTAAGCCCTGGACCCTAAGCCCGCAACCCTTGGCCAACTCTAACCCAGACCCCTGATTAACAAACTCCTTCCCCTTAAAAGGGATTATAGTAGGGATCCTAATATTTAGGCCCTTAAACGGAGGGAGTTTATAACCATGGGTCTACATTAAACCTCAAACCCTAAATAGTAATTTCCATCTTATTTTCCATTATCCCAGTACAACCCCTATATAGCCCCTATAGTAGTCCCTATATAACCCCTGTATAACCACTAGGGTCTACAGGAATATAACCCTAATATACCTAAACTCGCAACCCTAAACCCTAAACCCTGTATAACCCTAACATACCGAAACCCTAAACCTATATA